TTGGTTTGCTTTTAAAACCTTTGTGGACAGGTTGAGGAACGAAATAAGCAATGCTGTAACAACTCTGCTGCCAGCTTGTCATATAAATGTTTTCTCCACGTGGCTTTAATTTATACAAAATGCGTATTGTAATTCAGAGCAGTGTGTGCATCAGTACTTAGTATTTCCTCTTTATACTCATGCAGATGAACTGGGATATATATTGAAAATAACAATAATCTCACTTTTCTAGTGAGAATAATGTAGAGAGTTTGGAAGGATAACATTAGCAGTCATGGACTAGTGTTTCAAATATTGAAATGTTGCTCATCTTTCGGTGACTTTCTTATCCAGAACATCTGACTGATTTTCTTAACAGAAAAAGAGTATGTTATTTTTGTTAGGCTTTTTTTTTTTTTTCTTTATCATTTGATGAGGCCATGTATTTTTATCTCATATAGCAGCATTATTTGTAAAGGTTCTAGAATTTTCAGCTCACAGTCAGTGCCAAACTCTTCTTAGAAGAGACTTTTACATGAAAAAAATGTATTTAACTTACAGATCTTATTATGTCTAACTTGGTGTTTTTTTTTTTTTTCTAACTTGGTGTTGTATTTGATGTTTCTCATCAAATACAAAAACTAAAAACTTAACTAAGTCGTACTTTTAAGTAGTTAAAAAGATTATGCCAAGTTGAAAATAAATTATAGATCAAGCAAACTTATTAAAATAATGTCAACGTAGATGATGTTTCTTTGTTTTCTCTTTCAGAGTTTTTTGTCCATTTCAGTCATGGTAAAAAAAAAGTAATATGGTATTGTGAATAAGGAAATATGAAACAAGTGGGAGATTTGATCTTGTTCTTGTGAAACTAGTGCATGAGTCTGGGTAAATGGAGGTAGTTGCAATTCCTAGTGAGTTTTGAAGGTGTTTATGAGAGATTTTTAGTGAAATGTTTTTTCTTCCTGTATTTCATCCTTGAAAATAGTTGTTCACAAATGTCTGTACTGACAGAAAGCAATGACATGAATAAGGCATGATTGTGAAGTGAGAGGTTTCTTTCTCTGGTAAGATTAATCTTCTTAAAGTCTAGTAGAGAAACCTGGTCAGATTTTTTTGAGTTGAATATCTGATTGTAACTCTATACATTCCATTTGAAAATCCGCAGTATACTTGTAGTATATTTACATTGATTGAAAATGGAGTTGCAAATTTAACGAAAAAATGATATTTTCAGTAGCCTTGAAACTTAGTCTCAAATTCTTTTATGAAAACAAAAAGCAAGGCTGAATATTCTTCACTGTACCCAAGACCAAGTTTAGTCAATGTATCAAAACACATAAAATTATTTGTGTAAGATGGATTAGCACTGCACTTCGCCCTTGCCATATCCTATGTACTACATGTTATGAGGGCTGCTTTGAAAGTAGTGCCTCCTATTTTGCAGTGTCAGCCCACAACATCAGAAGTGGATGCTGGTGACATGGCATTAAGCATTGAACCTTCCTGCCAATATTCCTTTACATTTTGTTGTTGTGCAACAGATGGTAACAGAACAGTCTTACAAAATGGCGTTTTACATGGAAGTGCATATGAAGCAAAAGAGTGGAATTAAATTCTTCCATGTGGAGAAAATGGCACCTGTTGACATTCACTGATGCTTGCTGAGCATTTATGGAGACCAAATAGTGAATATGAACACAGTGAAGTGGTGGGTGGTGCATTTCAGAAGTGGTGACAGTGTGTCACTCCTGCTGTTTCATATTTTTATGACCACAGCATGCAGGCTCTTGTTCATCACTGGTGAAAATTCATAGCTAATGGTGATAACTATTTTGAAAAATAGTATTTTGTAGCTGAGAATATACTCTATTAAATAGTGTTATTGTGCTCTTTGTATCTGTTGTTGTTTCTATGTAAACAATTAGGAGGCATTACTTTCAGAGCAGCCTTTGTGGCCCAAAGGTTGCCAAAAGGTTGAACTCTCATGGACCAGTTGATTAATGATCCTTAAAATCTGAAGTCAACACTTTCTCTAGAAAGTGTCACAAGATGACCATTGCTACGCAGGATCAAGGAAGTTCATTACGCAGTATGTAGAAGTAGAAATGAATCACCAAGAGCACCTGTATGGAAAGCCTACCCTTTGACTTCATGCTACAGATATAATAGGCTACTGTGATCATTCCATGAGCTGTTGAAAGACTACTTCAAGAACAGCAGCTTGATGCTAGGTCAGGAGCTGCTAATTTATGGAACATCAGCTCTCCAGAATAACAGTGTAATAAATTCAGGAAGAAAGTAGTGTTTCAGCAGTGGTGAAGAGTTGCCCAGTTGTTAGCAGTTAGCAGTTGTTCAAGTGTTTAGTGGTATTGTACTGACAGAAGTGTGTAGCTATTAGAGTTAGGCACCTATTATCATCAGATAGCCAAATGTATTATTTAACATAAACTAATCAATTAATTAGTTTTGTTCATTAGTAAATTAAGTATTTTGTTATCAGAAAGGTTGCATATAATATATTTAGATGTAAATAATCTCAGCTATATTTACCCCATCAGACAGACACTAAGTGGTTTTTTTTGTTTGTTTTCTTTTGTTTTATCTGCTGGTTTGTTTGTTTGCTTGTTTATATGCTTTTTTTTTTAAATTTATTTAACATTGGGTCTTGACGTCTTTATGCTCTTCTCTATGTTTTATTGGAAGGAGCCAGGCAAATGTAGGGTGTCAGCAAGGAATATAGTACTTTTCTAGACAACACGTGCCTGTTAAATTTCAATTAAAGGAAATTATGCTAAATCTGTCCTTTATTTTGTTTTTAATATTGATTTCTTTCTGATAATTTATTAAATACAGAACATGCATTTTGTATGACTTGCCTCATTTTCTTTTAAATGACTTGAAAAGATTTGGGCCAAAATGAACATTCTGTTCTGTATTTTAAGACCTATTGGCTGGAGTGCTCTATTTCTCCATAGAAAAAAGATTTTCTCTGAACAGTTATGGCACAACATGAAAGCTATCTCTGAAATGCCATGTCATGCAGGATCATGGCATTTCAGTGTCTGTGCCTTCTCACTCGAACAACTAGTCAAAGACATGCAACTTTTAGTTGCAGTTTAAACTCTATTCGTAATGTACATGAGAGAAAAGGGAAGCTTTAATTCCTAAATGTGGAATTTTATGTACAGAAAATAATAGTAAGAAAAATTTAGAAAATCTTAATGATCTCTTTATGCCATTTAATTTTTTCCTCTGAAAAAAACTGTACATTCTGGGTATGGCTTAATTATTATCAGTCAAGTTTACACAGTAAAGTCCATAAGGTGACTCAACCTTTAGCATGAATAAGAATAAACTGAGAAATGGCATTGCATTTTAATGGCCATTCTGTTACTGTTTTCCATGTGAACAGAATTTTATTCCTTTTTCTTCTTTCAAGTCATTTATATAAAATAATTATCGTCACAGCAGTGTAGGGGAAAAAAAATAACTCAAAAATCTACAAGCAAAGTACAAACTTCATTTTTCCAGTAATATGTGACAATTCCAGTTTATACACAGTAGGATTTAGCATATAAAGTTTCCTATACTGAGCTATGTTTTTGTGATGCCTGAATTTATGCCAATACAAGAACTGAATGTAGTTGGAAAGAAATTTGCTTTCATGAACGTAAACTTATGACTAGCTAAGTCCTCTGCAAATATCCTCTAATGTTGCTTTACACTTTAATCAAAATGTGTGTCAAGCATAATCAACCATTTGTTGCCTTTTAGATCTTTCTGAACTTTTGCTGAAAGGTACTGTGGTCTTACTGATATCCTGAAGAACATGATTTTGGCATTAAAGGCGAATCAGTAGAAATATAGATTAAAAAAATTGTCAGGGTTTTTGAGAATAAAATGTTTTTATTGGTTTGGAGTTTCTTGCAAAAACTTTTCAAAATATCTTTCAAGTGTGTTTTGTATTCCATGAAGTAAATATATCTCTAAAGTAAAAATCATTTGAAAGATATACATTTTTTTCCTTTTTGTTTGTCTGCATTTGGGCCAAAGATCTGTTTTCTGTAGCACCTATGTCTTCTTTAACTTATGCATTAATTTCTCTGTATTGACTGTCAGTTAAAAATAGCTTCCTTTAATGTGTATAAGTACCCCAATGAATATTCAGAAAGTCATACTAATATTTTATAATATTAGAGGAAAAAAACTTGGGTAGCATATGAGTATATCCTGAGTAAAAATAAGGAAGTAAGAGTGTGGTTCTTTCAAATGATGATTTGCTTTTCCATATATGCAAAATGTTTTTAATTTTGCATTCTGTTGCTGGAAATTCTGTAGAGTTCAGTCAAGTGCACGTGAATGTACATGCACACAGGTGCACACACACAGATTTCCTGATGTTATTATTTTTTTGTTAATGTCTCTGTACTTTGACTGACTTCCACTGCTACACATTTGAGTGTGTGTTTCCTGGGGGGTGTTCTTTTATGTTTAAAATTACACAAAATTTCCATCTGCTTTTATTTGATTTGTGGTTGCAAAGATCATGCTTGGCCCATGGAATCTTACACTGTGCCGAGAGGATGTGGAGTTCTGTCAGCCAGTGAAATATGTCTGGCTTTTTTTTTTTTACTTTTCTTCAGCAGGTTTCATGTGCTTCTCTTCTTGTGTGGTCTCACTATTCTGAATATATTTAACAGAAATACTTGCCCTCTCTATCTTCTGTGTGCTGCCCTCTTTTAAGCAGCCTATGTATAAGAAATCTGAGATCCAAAAAAATTTCAGTCCTGACTGAAAATAAGGTAGTGTTACATAGAAAAGTACTTCAATAGTTGCACATTCCAAAATTAATAACAGCATTCTGCGTTCTGGTTATACAGAAGTACTAGTTGACGTGCAGTTAATAATATACATCCCTCTTTATATATATATATGTGTGTATATTTATATGTACATATGTAGTGTATATACATGTGTAGTGTATATATATATAATTTTTTTATATTTCTTTTTTGCAGTCATTGCTACAGTGTACTGTTCAACAGCAAGAAGCAGCTACTGAAAAACAGTATATACTAGCAATTGAAAAACATTCTTACAAATGTCAAGAGCTTCTTGATGCTCAGGTACGTATATGCATTTACAAAAACTTTTATGATTGTCTTTCAGTTTCAGCTCTTTTTTTTTTTTTTTTTTTTGAAAGAATTGTGCCTTTTGGAGCAAAGAGGATGACCAGTCTTTCATTTTGCATCCTCAATGTAGGAGTAAACACAGTTACTCAAAAATGCTGAGTGCATGATAACTCTGCATCTGTTGTGTTTGAAAGTATTTTATAACATTTTAATCTCCTTAGAACAGATGCAAGAACAGCAAAAGTATTGTTCCTATAATCTGTTACATCTCAAACCAAAAGGCAGGGACAGAAATGTTCAAGAAGTTCAAATTTATCTGGGGATCTAAGTGAGATAGGTGTTAACTGATGTTGTTTTTTTGTTGTTGTTTGTTTGTTTTCAGTAGAATCCAACAACATAAGAGTTACAGTGTACATAAGACATAATGCCCTGTTCACAGTTCAAATAATGTCTGCATTTAATGCAGCTTACTCTTGGATCTCTGAAGAGATTTTGTTCACAAACTTAAAAGTAACTTCATTCACCTGAGTCAAAGTTTGCCATCGTTATTTGTTATACATGACTGGAATTTTGAAGCCTAATCAAGCAGACAAAAGGGCAGAGAGTGCTCTGTGGTAGAACTACCAGACTTAATAAACAAGAATTTATTCTGACTATAAATTTGTTGAAAGAGTTCTGAAAAATGTTTACTGTATTTTTATTTGTTAACAGATCGGTTCTTAAATGTATATTTCTTTTACCATTTCCTTCTGTTCAAATGATTTTATTCTAACACTTACTGAAGATTACTAAAATTACTAAGATTACTGAAATGATTACTTATGATTATACACCAAGTTGTTTACAATTCTATGTTATGGCATTGTGCATACATATTTATATGTAAAATTATGAGTATCCATATCACTTCAAAGAATTTGAAACACAACTTCTTTTTCTGGTTTCTTTTTCTGGTAAAATATTTTTGTCTTAAAAGCAATATTTGGCTTTCAAATTTTAAGGACGCTTAATTCCCTCTTAAATTTTCTGCTGTTTTATTTCCAGTTCCATAAAGTCAAGGTTGTCTACCTTAGTGTATTGACTCTTATATTTTCTCCTAATTCTTTGCCTTAACATTCCTACCTCTCCTCCTTTAGTAAGGAAGAATGACTCTTGTTTGTTTTAAACCTGTCATTGTTTCAGTTTCTTTCAGTTTCAGATTTAAAGCTGTCTTCTATCAGAATGCCTGTAATGGAGATGCATGTTGTATGTCTGTAGAAGTACTGATAACTGCTTCTGATACTTGCATACTATTGTATGTTTCAGTCTAGAGGAAAATATGAAAGGTCTAGTTGTATCTCAGTTTCCTCCTAGACAAATTCATCTTAAATTCTGACATGCAAGATTTTTCAACATACTGACTAGCTGGAGCTACCGTTATCATCACCTTCTCCAGGAGGAGCCATCAGCTCCTCGACAAAAAACATCCTTGGTTCTGAATCTTCTTTCAGCAGTCTTTTTCTCTGCATTCCTCTTCCAGTTCTGTATCCATAGGACTTCAATTTTAAGACCTTGCTAAAATTGTAAGAAATTCTTCAGGGTAAAATACTCCTGCTATTTTCTGTTGTGGTCCTTCTTATGGGTGCCTTCTCCACATGTTCTAAAGTCAGAAAGTTCTTGTCTGTTTTCTAGTTTAGTTTCATCTGCTTGAAGTTTCTACATGTGTGTTACATAGTATTCTTTCTTCTCTCAGTCTGGAAAAGCCTCGGATTTTGGATATTAACATTTTCAAAACCTCCTGGGATAGTTTGCACTGTTGCTAAAAAATCTGCTTGAGTTAGTTTAATCAGTGCACTTTCCAACTGTACTAAACTGTCTTTCATTGAAGAGTCCATTTATATAGATATTATGACTACCCATTGCTCTTGAAACAACTACTGGAGATATGAGTTGTCAGCATCACTTACTATCCAATTACTGTCAACAGATGCTGGGTAGTTACGCATCTACCCTTTTTCTTAGTTCATTAATGTCAGTCACTTGTCTATAATGTCCTTTATCACACGTTCCTTAGGTGTGGAGGTTAATGGTCCTCACTTTAAATCCCATGCTAGAATGTGTTGAAAGAAGCAGTTCCCTCAAATTCACTGATGAACACTGTGATGGGTGCTTCCTGAGGCACAGTCTCAAGTGTTGCTGTTTATTTTCCAAGGGAGTGTGCTCTCAGATCTACATATCAAGCAGCAAAGCAAGTATTTCCATGGCATTTTAAGATTTGTGATGGCATTGGTCAGCAAACAGGACAGTAAGAAATTATTTTTGCCAAAAAGCAATCTGATTAGATAATAAACATTTAGGAAAGCAGTGCATGTCAGTTGTATACATATAGTGTTTGAAGATTACAGAGGAAATGTCATTGGCAAGCGTCAACTTTAAGTGGGAAAATCACAAATTTCGTGTTTTTCTGAAGCATGCATTTGATGTTGCCTCCTGAAAATGAATGCCAGTTCTGATCTTTTGTTTGCACTGGTGTTTTACAAAAATGAAAATCTTTATTAGTCTTTCAACTTTATTTGAATCTGCCCACTATCTCAAGCTAATTAAAAGGTAATTTTTTTCAGTCTCTTTCATTGTTAATTTAGCTGAGATACTGTCAGTCTCAACAAAAAATCTTATTTGGATATTGCACTTGCTAATCCAAGTTTTCAGATCTTCCTTGGATTTGTGAAGTTTCAGATGAAAGCAGCTATTTAGTGTGATTTTTTTTCTCTCCAACTTTTGCTTAAGTAACAGAATCTCCACTTCTTACTATGAATTAGTCATCTATTCTTGCCAATACTGTGTGATTTTTGCTATCCTCCATTAGTGAACATTTTGATTTTATAAAGGTTTTATTTTAGGAATCCATTTTGACTTATTTTTCCTGGTGCAATGGAGCAATTGTGAATAACTCGTACAGTGTACAAAATGAATTGAATCACAAAACCAGAAGAGCTAGTTAACACTTTTCATTCATGTTTTTACTACGGTCTCTTATCTCTGTATTCTTAGGGCAGTTTGGGGACTATTTTAATAGTCTTTATTACCACCTATGCACACTTTCTGAGAAAACCGTTTTTAATGTTAGACAACTGAATACTTCTTATTCTATTTATAAGCAATAATACACAGTTGCAGCGAAAAATTTGAAGCTTGATACTGTTGTTTTGCATTAATAATAGCCTCCAGTGTGCATCAAGTTATTCAGATTATTCTGCACACTGCTGAATTGAGTATTAAGCTTAGTTGTTTTATTACCACTACTGTAGTTTTCCTTTGTATTGTATTGTTTTAACTTCTCTTTTTAGTAATGTTTTGCTGGTTTCTGAGATTCCTTTTAGAAACATTTTGCTGCTTTGTTAGCCACTTGGCCGACATACTGGCAAAAAAAGATACAGTTAAACCATGGAATAATAGGTTATAATTTGAGGAAGTGGAAATATGTAACAGATGTTGGAATTTTTAGACAGATTTTCCACCTTGCACTGCCAAATGCTCAGATGCCACTGATAGTAAGGTCAATGTAAGAAGCTAGTTATGATTACCAGATCTTGACATTTGATTTGCACTTAGTTCAGCAGAAGTGAAGAAAAGTATAAAAGAATATGCAGGTAAATGTAGCTAGCCATTTTACAGGAGCAGAAAACTATTATTTTTTTTTTATAAGACTGCCTTTTTCCTCAGGATAATGTTTTGAATTGGTAGCAATGGACATGTTTTGCTAACTTTACAAAGTCCTTCTGTTATAGCTCTGTATTTTTGTCATCTCTCTCTCAAATGGAGATAAAGGGATTTTTCCTACAACGTGAGTTATTTCTTCTTACTGTTGGATCCCTTCATGAGACTGAAATAAAAGTAGTGGGCTAAGGTTTCTCGTTAAAATAGATGAACAAATTTTTGAGTCACTGAATTCTTAAAAAGCCCAGTCCATTAGATTCTGATTTCTTCAGTGCTTGCTAACTTTTTCTGTAGATGACTTTTCCCAGGTTTAGAGGGCCAGGGGTTGTTCCATGTCCTATGTAATGAAGGCAAAAAAGTTTTCTTTATATTGGAGATGAGAGATTAAGTCTTATTATCACTGTGGGTTTTTTTGTAACTCCTCACTAGAATGCAGTTTCATGAGATGAAAAATTTTGTTAGAATTTTTTCATGAGAAAAACTGGTCATTCACTTGTAGTATAGCTTAGAAATACAGAAAATTATGCCTTAATATACTTAATATATTTTTCGGAATGATGTTATGAAAGGAAGATTCCAAGCATCATTTCATTACTGTGAGAATTTTTTTTCCACAAATTAGAAAAATATGTAAAGATGCAGGTTTAGTTGACACGTTAGAAGGAAAGGGCACCATCCTGAGAAACCACAACAAACTCAAAAGGTGGGCCTGTATGAACCTAATGAGGTTCAGCATAACAAAGTGCAAGGTGCTGCACTTGGGTCAGGGTAATCCCAAATACGTACAGACTGAGAGAAGAAATCCTTGAGAGGAGCTCTGCAGAGAAGGACTTGCGAGTCTTGGGGTCACTAAACATGAGCCAGCAGTGTGTGCTTACAGCTCTGAAGGCCAATGGTATCGTGGGCTCCATCAGAAGAGGGGTGGCCAGCAGGGGCAGGGAGGGGATTGTACCTCTCTGCTCTGTCTTCAGGAGGCCCCATCTGGAGTACTGCGTCCAGGTTTTGGGCCCCCAGTACAGGAAAGATGTGAAGCTGTTGGAGAGTCCAGAGGAAGGTCACAAAGATGACCAGGGGACTGAAGCACCTTCCCTACGAAGACAGGCTGAAAAGAGCTGGGCTTGTTCAGCTTGGAGAAGAGAAAGCCGTGAGGAGTACTCACTGCAGCCTTCCAATATTGAAAAGGGGATTATAAAAAGGAGAGGTATCAACTTTTTACCCAGGCAGATAGTGATGGAACAGGGGGGAATGGCTTTAAGCTCAAGGAGGGAAGGTATAGACTGGATGTCAAGGGGAAGTTC